TACAAGGAAAAATTCCGACCGAGGGTATTCATGAAGCGTCCTGCCATTTACTTGGCAAGTCTAGCAATCGCAAAGACCGCGACGATCGTTACCGAGAGGGTCACCAGTGCACCAGGAAGGAGAAGCTCGTCTGGGATCGAGTCCAACATCCTTTTAAACTCTGAGGGTGCCTTCTTGGGCTCCTCAGCGGCAGCAGGCTTAGGTGCTGACTCGACAGGGGCGGTGCGGACAGGCTCTTCTGGGGCAACTACAGGTGCTGGGGCAGGTGCTGGAGGCTGCACACTAACAGTACTGCTGGCTGGGAGGACAGTCGAAGCTCTGGGGTCTGCAACGTAAAGCATGACACGGTTCTGGCCCTGCTTCTTTGCAATGGCCACAGAATCTGCCAAGTCTGTATCCGAGGTCATCATAACATAGTCCTGCTCGTCATCCAAATACGAAATGCTGAACTCGGACAGGAGAGCGCTCTGTGATGGGTCCGACTCTGGGCCAAATGGTTCCTTCTCCATGATGGTCTCCCGGAGGCGATTCAGGTTAGTAAAGTCGGCAGTGAAACGATGGACAGTATTGGAAATAGGTGACTTGAACTTGAACACAAACATGGTGCTCTCCTCCTCCACTTGCTTATGGATGAGTTCGCTGCGATCCTCTGCAACAACCGAGGCCGATTCGTTAGGGAAGATTTCACCTGGGAACGGTTGCATGGAAGGATGGCCGGTGGGAGATGTAGCAAGTGTGGGTGACATGATGGATGAAGGAGCCATAGACTCCGAGATAACAGAACCATCATCGCCCTCTGCCATCGCCGCTGAATTCCAGAAGTGATTCCACATTGGTCCAGACTCTGAATCTTTGGTGTTCATTGAGTTGATTTGCTCCATGGTGGCGTATGTCAGCTTGAGAACGTCGACCACTCCAACAATTTCCTTGTCGTCTTCGACAACGGGCAAGTTGAGGTAGTGTCCATCTATTTGGATAGGGGAAGATATTGATTTATGGCTGTTAGTGACAACAGGATCGCTTCCGACGGCCCACCCCTCCTTTACGATAGTCCAGTAAGGGTACGTGTATTATGAGTATGATGAATTCATACCATGCATCTTGCGCAGTGCATCCATGATGGTCATGGACGAGGGCGCAGTGTCGGGGTGAGGTGTCATCACACGGACCACACTGCAGTTACTGGGCTCTAATTGAGCAGCAATGACACGCAGGACGATATCTGTGCGATACATATGAAGTCGAGTAGACCAGGTTAGTACTCTGGAATGTAGCACACAAACATATATTCACCCATTCAGGCTGATGCTACTTACCCTTGGACGTGAAGATACCGGCAATGTCGATTCCGTTTTGATCCATCACCAGGACTGCAGTGACACGACGCTCTTTCATCAGCTTGGCTGCATCCCTGACCGTTGCCTTGACATTCACCTCTGCTGCAGGCGAGCCGTCCAAAACTGAGCTGAGGTCAGGGCACATCATCTTTTCTCTCAGAGTCTCCATGTACTGCACCATGGCCATGTTCTGCATGCCACCCCATTCCTTATCTACGCCCTCCAATGCATCATACAGCTTCTTAGACTGTCCATAGGCCCGCTCCATCTTTGACAAGGACTCATACAGACACTTTGTAATATCCAAAAGACCCACAATTTCTGAATCCTCGTTTTGGACAGGCTACGGGTTCACAAAAGCAGAAAGACCCGGGATGAACGATTAGTTTAATGTTCCAAACACAAGGCAAAATATCCAAGACATAGACATGCATGTGGTCTGCTACTCACCAAGTGCCTGAATCCTTTCTGGACCATCAGGTTCAGTGCATCCGTAGCGCTGCGGTCCGTTGTGACAACCATGGGATTTGGAGTCATAATGTCGGCCACTCGAGTGGAACGGGGATCAAGACCACTATTTTTTTTTTTT